ACCTCAGCCTGAACCTTATTGTTCATATCACTATCAGCATTTTTGTCAAAGCCATTCAACAAATCTCTAGGAAGTTCAAAACTTTCCCACATTTTCCTGTCTTCTTCTGAGCTCTCCAAACGGTTCCAACCTCTTCCTGTTACCCACTTCCAAAGTTAATTCCACAGTTTTGGGTGTCTTTTCAGCAATACCCCACTCTTGGTACCAATTTACTATATTCGTCTGTTTTCATGCTGCTGATAAAGACATACCTGAGACTGGGCAATTTACAAAACAGGTTTAACTGGACTTACAGTTCCTCATGGCTGGGGAGGTCTCACAATCATGGCAGAAGGCAAGAAGGAGCAAGTCATGTCTTACATGAATGGCTGCAGGCAAAGAGAGTTTCTGCAGGAAAACTCCCTCTTATAACAACCATCAGATCTTATGAGACTCACTATCACAAGAACAACACAGGAAAGACCTGCCCCCATGATTTAATTTGCTTCCACTGGGTCCCTCCCACAACATGTGGGAATTCAAGATGAGATTTGGATGGGGACACAGCCAAATCATATCACCCCCCTTATTTCATTTATGTTTTCCTCTCTCCAGGATCATTTCCATAAGCATAAAACAAACTATAATTTCCCCTGGCTAAAAACAAAACAAAACAAAAATCTCTTGAATCCATGTCTCCCAATCTCTCCTCCACCAAGCTATTTTCTCATTCCTCCCATCCCCTCCACAGACAGCCTCAGTTTTAAAGTTGGTTCACCACCTTCTCCAGTTTCCCTATTCCCCTCTCTCATAAACCCATGCTAATCAGGCTTTCACCTCATCACTCCACTGCAATGGCTCAAAAATATTTGCTGAATGACAGACTGGTACCACTGTGTTACTAGGAATATTTCTACCCTCCACATTCCTATCCCTACTTATCTCTATTGATTTTTAAACCCGTAGTTACCCTCATCAGTTCTGATCCATGACGCACATTACACATTACAAATACACATCATCACAACCAAACAAGTGGTATGGCTGAGGTAAGACACTCATTCTCTCTAGGTTTCTTCATCTTTAAAACAAAGGCATTAAAAGTCGGTTCTGACTCATCCTGCTTTGACCTTTTTCGACTGGCATCTATTCATTCCTTGGTGGTCAGCTATGGTCTAACAGTGTTATGACCCATATTTGCATGATTTGATACTCTGGGATGCATTTACTTCTCCCCTGAAAAAAAAATGAAGAAAGGAAAAGGCAATGAAAGCGAAGAGAGAGAAGGAAAAGGGAAGGGAGGGAAAGAGAGTGATGGGTGGAAGAAAGAAAGAGAACCAAAAAAGATAAAGAAGAGATTTTGTTGTTAGGCCAGGCGCGATGGTGCACACCTGTAATCCCAGCACTTTAGGAGGCTGAGGCAGGTGGATCGCCTGAGGTCAGGAGTTTGAGGCCAGCCTATCCAACACAGTGAAACCCTGTCTCTACCAAAATTACAAAAAAATTAGCCAGGCACAGTGGCAGTTGCCTGTAATCCCAGCTACTTGGGAGGCTGAGGCAGGAGAATTGCTTGAACCTGGAAGGCAGAGGTTGCAGTGTGTTGAGATCGCACCATTGCACTCCAGCCCGGGAAACAAGAATAAAAAAAAAACAGAGAGAGAAGGAAGGTAACACCACTCAGGGCACAGTTCTGTTAAAGACATATTTTTAGATCCTTACTCTACAGCAAAAGATGATTATATGATCTAGCTGCTCCTTAAACCTCCTTGGTCTTTTTAGTAAGCATCCTTTTAAAAATCTATATAAAGTCTGTTTTTCTTCTTTATTAAATTTTTCTCAATGACAATTACTGGTAACCGCTCCTTAAGTGCTCCTCAGATCAAAGAGAATAAATACATTTAGGCATGCCTCAAGAAAATTGAACTTCTCAAGTTACCCTTAAATCATGAGAAAAACCTGTGAAAGTCCTCTTTGTCTCTATTAACTACAACTCATTTACCATCGTACACAACAGATGGGTGTGGTTACATAGATCATTCTTGCAAAAGAGTGCCTTTCAGTAAAGGGCAAGTGGAGGCTGAAATCCACTGAATCCTCTGCCTACCAAGCCGCACCCATGGAGCCGCACCCAACCCGAAGTCACACAGAATGAATTTACGCACTACCTGGGCCGATGTGAGGTCAGTGCACAGCCCCAAGTCCATTAGATCATGCAAATGACAGAGAAACACGGCTGCTCTGTGTCAGCCAAGGAGAAATAAGAAACCTCAAATGGCACAGTGGCTCATACCTATAATCCCAGCACTTTGGGAGGCCAAGGCGGGTGGATCACCTGAGAACAGGAGTTCAAGATCAGCCTGGCCAACGTAGTGAAACCCCATCTCTACTAAAAATACAAAAAAATTAGCAAAGCGTGGTGGCGGATGCCTATAATCCCAGCTACTTGGGAGACTGAGGCAGCAGAATGGCTTGAACCCGGGAGGCGGAGGTTGCATGAGCCGAGATTGCACCACTGCACTCCAGCCTGGGCAACAAGAGTGAAACTCAGTCTCAAAAAAAAAGAAGAAGCCTCAACTGGCTCATACTTGACTGTTGATAATAATCCACATGGCAGAACAGTCCAGGGGCAGGCAAGGGAGGGGCAGAAAGTTAACCGGACTGGCCTGCCAGTGTTTCCAAAATGTAGAAGAGCCTCACGGGGTACATGAGATGATATAATCTACCACACGGATACAGAATTATGGAGTATTCATCTCCCTTAAATAGTGAGAAAGTTATTCCCATTTGAATTATCTTTCAAATTGCTGAGATTATCGGTGAGAAAGTCTCAGTTTGATGCCAGTATACGTTCACCATCTTTCTTACACACTTTTCTTCCTTTTAAGCTGAGTGATTACTGACTCCACGCTCAGAGCCCTCAGAAAGCAGTAACAGCTCATGAACTTTTTTCCCACTGTATTCATTTTTGTTGTTTCCTTCTGGTTATGGCAAGTGACATTGGTTCCCAATGTAAGGCAATGGCATAAATATTCTCTTTTAAATAAAGGTATTACCTAACAAGGTGTGTCAATTTAATAAAAAGAGAGGGTAAATATTTCAGTTAGCATATAGCTATATAAAAATTGTGGAGCTGGCATAAGGTATCAGAACACTGGCAACTGCATTATGCAAATCATAGAGGTAAACCAGCCCTGGGCTTCACCCCTGGTTGCCGGAGGAGCAGGACACAGTCTCTCTCTCCCAGTGGAATTCCTGGCATTTGGCAGGAGTCAGACATGGAACAGGCATCCTTGAAGACTCCTAGAAGGAACTAGATGACCATCCAGAGATGGTCACCCACTGAGCAACTACAGGGGAGATGGACACACACAGAGAGGATATGAACATCGAGATCTTGTCTACAGATTTTTTCTGTAGATGAAGAGTCCAGGAAAGGGAGCCTGCCTGTTGAGAGGCAGGAGAAAGATTGAGAATCTGTTTTATTGGCCTATCTGTAGCTCATAGTTGACTGCTGATACTATATTGGGCAGACATCTTGCTTCCAAGCGTCATTACTGATTTCCTAAGCATATTGGCTCTTCTTGGATTTTTCCTCTTTCTTTTATTGTTTTTTCTGTTTCATTCAACAACTTGCTGTAGACTGGGTTATTTACAAGCCTCTTATTTCCCAACGAGATCCGCTGGTACATGGACTCTCAAGAGGGACCATATCACCGCCAAGGGAGCAAAAACTAGTTCTTGATTTCTAAAATAACCCAATATTTTTCTTATGTATAAACTACTGATAAAACAACAGTATATAAATGATTATAATACATCACATTAAAATTTCATTGAGGAGGATGTTACTAGGAAAAAAACAATGCCTAAAAGGATCTTTAAGAGAGCAATAATGAAGAAACAAGAAGGTTGGGAAACCAGAGTTGGGTTTCTGAGCCTCAGTACTACTTAAATTTGGGCCACATAATTCTTTGGTGAGGAACTGTCCTGGATGTATTGGGTGTGGCAACATCTTTCTCCTGCCTCTCAACAGGCATGCCCCCTCCTCTGGACTCTTCCTCTACAGAAACAATCTATAGACAGGAACTCGATGTTCATGTCCTCTCTCTCTTAAATTGGATTAAGATTTTTTTTAATTGGCCATTACCCATTAGATGACAGCTAAATCTCCCAGCTATCTTCAGAAAATGTCATGTATCTCCTGGAAGGAGGGCAAATCGCCACCAATGGAGAACAACCGGGGTAGAGGAAACTGTTCACAGGTATCAAAAGAAGGCAGCCAGCAAGTCAGCCACGTGGCCCAGTGCTCCGGGAAGAGGGAGCTTCTAAGGTTGCCAATAGCCTCTCTCAAGAGAAAGGAATGAAATTCTCACATAACCAGGGTCCTCTCTCAGGGGTCCCTTGACATGGCACAAAGCCCAATTCCTTATACAAGATGGTTCCCAACAAATACTAAGAAGTGATAGAACCATCAGTGCCTCAATGAGATCTTCACCATGAATAAGTTTGAGTTCAACAGCTAATACATACCCTGCAACTAAGCCCTAAAAGGCTGAGGGGTATTTTTCAACCCCCTCAGCAAGTTCATTCATGAGATTATATTTAGACACTCTTAATACTTCAACCAAAATTAATGGTTCAAAGCGCCAGGGAATGCTCTGCAATACGTGAATCAGCACTCTTAAATTGGATTAAGATTCTTTTTTAATTGATAAGTCAAATCTAAGTAAAATAAATCTCATCAACTAAAGAGCAGTCTCATAAGGGACAGTGAGGAATACTGTGTATCACAAACAGGCTTAGAAAATGGGTTCAAATCTAATTTCACTTTTACTACTCAGGTGGCTTTGGAAAACCAAGTCAATCTAAAATACTTACATGCTAAATGTTTAAAATTTTAAACCCGAAATAGCATATGTGCAAGCACAAATTAAAGGCACCCAATTAATATTAGTGGTTTTCCTGATTTATTTTATTTCTGCCTTCCTTCTTTTCTTCTTTCTTAAGTAATAATAAACATGTGCTTTATAACTGTAAGTATAAAGGGAAAGAAAAATTATTAGAAGAAAATAGAGGTTATAAAAAAGAAAGCCCAACCAAAAGCTACAGAAAATGTAGGGCAATTTACTTTTCACCAACAATTAAGAGAAAGCCTAGTTCTTACAATACACAAGACAATTCCACAGTTGTCCTAGGAGCAACTTTTTTATCCTCTCTGCCAAGATCTGTTTCTTTAGAATATGTGTCAACTGTTGTCACTAGTATGCTCCCATTTGTAAGGTGCACCCTACACTTACTAGTGTGACTTCCTTACAACCTGATTGAAGACCAAAAGAATAACCTTTTGACATTTCTGGTTCCTTCTACTGTCCCAACATATCAAGAGTATCAGGACAAACTCTACTGTAGACCCTTGTGATGTCTTTATGTAACCGATTTTCTTCTACTTCATAACAATAAAATTTATTTTGGTGCAATAAAAATATTATTGAGCTATCACAAAGAGGAAATTCTAATTAGCAGGCAATAATTTGAAGAATCATATACATAATAATAAAAGACTGAAGGTTAACAACAAAAGTATCTCACAGAACATACAGGAGAAGGTCCCTGCTATCTCCAATCCTGTTTTTCCATCTTTAAATGGTAATAATCATAGTAATATCTATAATTTACAAGGATGATGTGGTGTTTAAAATAGATAATGGATTAAAAGTCTTACTTCAGCACCTGAAACAATGGCAATCAATAAATGTTTATTTTTGTTGCATTGAGGTTTATTCTTGTTATTATTATTAAGCCAATTCTCTTGTTTTATAACAACAACAACAAAAAAAAAAAAAAAAAAAAAAAACGAGAGAAATGAGGTAATTTACTCTCAGCCACACAAATTATTAGGAACAACACTGTACTGGAACTTAAATTTCCCAGGTCCTAATTCCATGCTGCTTCTTTAATATGCTGTTCAGTCATCATATCCAAATTATACTTCAGAGATTAGTATAGATATGCTATTTTGGGTATCTCTTACTGTATAATAAATTACTCCAATATTCAGTAGCTTTAAGCAGCATCCTTATTTTACTCTATCTTGTGACTTAATGGATCAGGAATTTGGGCAAGGCTCAGCTGGGTGATTCTTTTGCTGCACAAAGTACTAAGCAGGATCACCCACTGATATTCAGCTGGTGGACAGGCCAGTCAAGACAACTTCATTCACAGTTGAATCTTGTGGCAGGGATGGGTTGAGGACTGGGTTCAAGTGAGACTCTTGGCTAGACACCTTTTCCCTGCCTTTTCCAGTGGTCTTGGGATAGTCAGACTTTGTTCACGGTGGTTCAGAGCTCCCAGAGTATTTGGTTCCAAAAGGTCTGGGAAGAAGCTGATACTGCTCTAAGGCTTGTTCTGAGCCAACCTCAGCCTCATAAAGTCACTTCTACCACATCCTGTTAGTCATGTCACCAAAGACAACCCAAATTCAAGAGGAATAAAGTAACTCCATCTCCCAATGGAAGAAGTGGCAACAAATTTTCAAGCATTGTTAGTCTACCACACACAGACCACATGTAAAGACAAATGACAATATTGTTGCTCTTGTGACTCAAGTCCCCAGGATATTACAGAAGAGGGCTGTGTTTTTATTATTATTATTATTTGTCATGTTGTGTGTGAGAATGTGTATTAAGAACTTAAATAATACATAATTAATAAATAATATATACTGAATAGTATGTACTTAATAAAATCATATTGTAGCCTTATTGGGAAAAAAATGACCTTTCAGAATAGTTTATCCAAAAAGAAAAACAAGTAAAATTGATGTCATGTAAAATTTGCTCTCAGCCAAATTAAACACAGGCTTCACAAAATGAAGGGGAAGCCATATGTTATTTTCAAAATGGCTTCCCAAGAGGGCAAGCAATATGGAAAGAGGTATTGAAGCTGCAGAATGGGGGATATTGTCAAAGAGAGCTTATTACCCCATGTATAACAGGAATGATCTCCACTCCCTTGCTACCGAGTTGTGGTTCAGAAAGCCTAATGAAAGTTCTGGGAGGGATTAAATTTAATTTGTTGTTCTGGGCTTCGAGTTGACTCATAGTTATTCAAAGGATATATTGAACCTTCTGAGTTTTCAAAAAATAATTTCTAGATGGATAGTTAATCTCAAAGTCAGAAGAGGAAAAAAAATTGCACAGTTAAAAAAAAGCCATTAACTAATTGGATTGAAGCAACTGAAGACATAAGATTTATTACTAGCTCAATCTTAATGAACTTTAGGCAATCTGTTTTAAAAAGAGAAGAAACCAACACAGAGCCTTTGAAAACTATTCTAGGCTAAGAGAAAGAGAATGTCATTCTAAAGACTTAATGCAGAGGCAAGCTTTCTCATATCATTACTATAAGAACTTAAAAAAAAATTAAAAATTATTTGCAAGTTCAATAGCATATAAAATAGAATTACCTCTAAGAAACAGAATTTTTAACTCAAGGAGAAGGGATTTGAAAATACAACAAGATTAAATTAAATACAAAAATATTTCCCATTCAAATTTAGAATTACAGAATTTTATTTCAATTCTGAGTTTCATATTAACTAAATTCTAAGTTCCTTAAGAAAATTAACATAATATTATTTTTTAAAATTTCACAATGTATATGATATAAATAATAGAATGCAATACATATCCTACTATATATCTGTTAATGTATGTGAGTGAGTGTGTGTACACATAGGATAAAGCAAATAAGTAACAGAGGATAGAATAATGAATGATAGGATATTTTAGGATAAAACTATCAATATTCCTATGTTGTAAATATATACATATGCAAACGTACATGCATGTAGTTTACATATATACCCATATACACAAAAAAGCTCAAAAAATGCCAATCCCATTGCTATAAAAAATTACTAAAAGCAAATGATTACCAACAGTTTAATATATCTCTGCAGATTTCTTCTTTGTTTTTAAGTTTATATCTTACAAGTGGACAGTCAGTGAATGTTTCACAGTTATTTGAAATAATTCTTGTCCATGAGGTTGAATCATCAACTTAATACAAAGTTACCTGCATTATTTAAATGGTGTTTTTCGTCGTCAAGTAGTAGGTTCGAGACGGAGTTTCCCTCTTGCTACCCAGGCTGGAGTGCAATGGCGCGATCTCGGCTCACTGCAACCTCCGCCTCCCGGGTTCAGGCAATTCTCCTGCCTCAGCCTCCTGAGTCGCTGGGATTACAGGCACGCGCCACCATGCCCAGCTAATTTTTTGTATTTTTTTTTAGTAGAGACGGGGTTTCACCATGTTGACCAGGATGGTCTCGATCTCTTGACCTCGTGATCCACCCGCCTCGGCCTCCCACAGTGCTGGGATTACAGGCTTGAGCCACCGCGCCCGGCCTAAATGGTGTTTTTAAATATTTTAATTTGGTTTCAGGTTTTCGAGATCATATATTGTATTTTGCTTTAATTTTATCTATAATTATGGAAAACATTTAAATGGTTCCACAACATTTTCCTGTATTTAGAAAATTCTAGTTTCCATCCTAGTCCCATCTGCTCTTCTGCCTTGTCCCTTTCTTCCCCCATTGAATCCTCATTTTTTATTCTTCATATACATATGGTTCATTCTTCATATATATAGGCATATAAAGTATACATGCATACATACAAATACATATAAACACACATGTATATACATATACATACATAACATGCATATATACATGTATAAACACGTACACATATTACACATACATAAACACATATATTCATGTTTTTCCATTTTTCCATTCATATTGTATCATTTTTTTCCTTAAACACTAGGATACTGTACACAATGTTTCCTACTTTGTTAATTTTTAGCTTAGTGATATGTCCTAGGGATCATTTTTTTTCATAACTGCACAGTACCCAGAACACGGACAAGCATATAGACAAGCATATATACACGGACAAGCATACAGGCAAAAGTGTTCGATGGTTTATTAAATTGGTCCCCTTCTTATGGATTGTAAGATATTCCCAGGCTTTTGTTAATACAGTTGCAATGAACACTCCTGGGATTATGTCTTTATATTTTCAGAGCACTGCAGAATTTTGATCGAAACAACAAAGAATCCATCTACCACATCATTTTTATAGACTGCAAGTGCTCAGAATGTATAGAACCCACATTTCTTTCTTTTTTTATAAATGTATTAAAAGATGCAAACTGAGAGAAGTACCAACACTAAAAGCCCAAGAATTGTAAAAGTATGATATAGAACTGACTACTAAACCAGTTAAACATCGAGACGAATATAAAGAGTTGCTAATATACGTATACAACACTGAAAGTCAAAGTTAAAACTGTTTATCAAAAGAGACTACATGGAATCCAAAAATCGTAATTCAGTAATAATAACCTGGTTATAAAACCCTTAGGTTACATTTACAAAGACTAGAAAGTAGTTAGGGAGAAGGAAAAAGAAATTCTCTATATTCCATTTTATGCTCAGAGGCAGTAAAAACACAGTTTTATTGTTAACCTTGATAAGAGAAATATAGGTCAGCTCAAAAATATTTTTCAAAGATAATTAAAGAATCTATGCCTTCAAAGACTACAGTTATCCCTTTTCAAAAATATTTTTCAAAGATAATCAAAGAATCTGTGGCTTTAAAGACTAAAAGTTATCTACACTTTCCAAATCAATGGAGAAAACAAAATTAAAAACAATTCATTAAAAAGCAAGCATAAAAACAACGCTCAAAATAAGATGACGAAAACATTTCTAAGTACATCTGTTACAACAATACATGTAAATCAGTCAAATTATCTTGTTAAAGCTTCTCAGACTGGGCTACATGTAATTCAGTACCATATGGCTTATGAAACTGCTTTCAGAGGATGCAGGGCAGACTTTGAGGTCAGACAGACCTGGCTTAAAACCCCAGCTCCATCATTATTAATTACTTGATCCTGTGTATGTCATAGTTATGCTTTGAGTCTCACTTCTTTAATTATATAATGAAACTAATAATACCTA